CCCGAACCTGTATCGTCCTCCCTACGACACACCCCCTCTGGCAGAGCAAGAAGCCGGTCGGCAGAAGATCCTACACTGGCTTCAAATAGGATTCACCATATCAGATTGCTGGTGAGTAGCGGCAGTAAACGCCAGCTCTGCTAGCAAGCACCGTCTCCAGCTGCCTGGGCAACAACCGTGTTGACATTGCAGAGTCTAACAAGGGTTATTCATGTAACGTGTCACGATAAAAGGCAAAAATGACCTGTTCAAAAAAACACTGCTGTCTCTCTGTTTTCAGACCCAAATCCTGGCAGAGCTTTCTCCACCGCTCGAAGGATGACCTGATGTTTATTCAAGTTCGATTCCTCTCTTGGTCACATTTCCTCTCCAACTCTGCCCTTTCTTCTGTTGGCTTGCGTTTTCTTCCAGCAGAAGTGTTTTTTTTTGTGTGTGTGTTCTTCTCCATCACAGCTCCTATCGCTAAGCTGCTCAGAGTTCCAAGGCTAGGAGAGTGGGAGGGGATGAGTCAGAACTACAGGAAAGGGTTGTGTCGAATACAGTGAGATGATTTGAAGGAGAGGCGGAGCAGGAGATTGACCAATAGGAGCCATCCGGGACGGATGGTTCCTATTGGTCAATGTTTTTGCAGCCCTGCACCTGCTGGGGTGAATGGATGTTTTCCATTCTTTTTTCTCTTCACTTTGTGGAGATCGCACTATAGGTTCGACTCGTCAGGTCTTCCCCACAAACAAGCTGCTGGAGGAGAGTGGGTGAGTTGTGTTTAGTCTCTTTGCTAAAGAAATCAGGCAAAGCTAAAAAGATGTTTGGTGGCTAGTACTGTGGCCGGGACCCTATATGTACTGTTGATGAAGTTAGGTGCTGTTCAGAGCATTATATGTGGCTATAGAGTGGCTTTTTGGTTGTGGTTTATGTGTGGCTCCTGGGACTGCTGTGTGTTGGTATCGTGCGGTCATTACTAAAGTTGGTATAACTAAAGAAGCAAGCAGTCGGCAACATTTATCTCTCAACGGGGTGTCTAACTTGATGTTATGGTGTGTTTGACCATAACTTAATTTTACGCCGGAATATCCCTTTAACGTTAGCAAAAATGAGTGTACTGACGCCAGCTTTGACATCTGTGGGTGCATTGGTCTTGAAAGGGGGTATAACCTGGTGCAAAGATAGCATGCAAATGTCTTAAACCAAGACAAACTTAGCACATGGTTTGACATTTGAGGGTGCAGGGGGATGGACATAAGGAATCACAATGAATGCATACGCAGAGATGTGCAGCAGGCCTCCCTCTCAATCCTCAAATCCTCCCAATCTGTCTACTGCCTTACCTCTTTGACCTTCTTTAAAACCTTGAAATAAAACTCTGTTCCAACTCTGAAAGAAAATACAGCAGCAGAGTGAGTGAGAGGTCAAAGAAAGAACGAGTGGAGGAAGCTTGATGACGGTGCAAAGGAGCGTAATAGATTAATAATGTGGCAGCTGGCCCTCAGGTGAAGACAGAGAGAGAGAAAAAGGAGCGAAGAAAAGAAAAAAGAGAGAGGACATAAAAAGTGTTTCCATCATTCCCCTCTTGTTCACGCTCCAGCGCAGACCCAGGCCTCTGACAGGGCAAGTCATTGGCGGCGGTGGTGAAAACACTCGCTCCTACAATCAGCGGCAAAAAGAAAACAGCCCCGCCAATTTGTTACCTGACTCGCTGCTGCAACTTGTAGTCTTGCTTTACTGCACGCTGCAAACTGCTGTTTAACAAGCCCACAGGGTGATGAAGTGAGAAGTGTGTGCGGCTGCAGTGGCATGTGTGAGAGTGTGTTTTTTTACGTGTGTGTGTGTGTGTACATCTGGTTTTGCTTCCTTTTTTTAATCGAACACAAGCTGAAGATGCTCAGTATACATATGAGTGAGCTGTTAATGTTTGTGTGTGTTTTTCACGTCTTAGCTCCCTCTAATTGCCCCGGCTTGTCTTGGGGAATTTGATAGTTGACCCTGTTAGCTATCTAATGTTGCTGATCCTTTTACACTTCCTGTAGCTGCTACACTAACCCACTGAACTGATGCACACTCACACACACTTTAAGATCCCTCTCAGACCTGATGAAAAAGCTGCAGAGCAGTTCACAGATCTTTATCTGCACTTCAAATAAAATCTTCAGATTTGTGCCGTAGGAGAGAGATTTGAGGGGACAAGCTGATAAAGAGGAGTAGGAGGAACGAAGAACAAAAAAAAGAGGAGGAAGAAATCTACATTGGACATTACTCAGGAGGGAAAAATGCGTCGGCTGGCGTGAGTGAGGTAGGGAGCTAATGAGGCGAATCACTAACCGGTGCCAACACTCGGCCTTTCAGCACAGATGAAATGAAATGACTCCCCTCTCTCTCTTCTTTGTCTCTACGCTCTTTAACAACGCTCGTATAGAGAGAGTATAAACTTCAGTGGTGACGCGTCAAACTCGGCCTGTATCTTGTATTTCGATCCCCGTCTCTCCGAGGCAGTAAATCTGAGGTCATAGTTTGTTCCCTTTTTTTCCTCTGTCCCCTTGAAATCCAATTGCCGCAGCTGGCAACTCTGATCCAACTCACGTCTGCCAAGAAGGAGAGAGTGTTTTGATGTTTTGTGAGGACGGCTCTAGCAGTTTCTTTTTCCAGGTATGAATTTAATACCCTCATAACCCTGCAGCAGAGAGGGCTTTTTTACTCATGTCTGGGTGAGGTTTGTATCAACAACATGTCAACCAGGCCCCGGGAAAAGAAGCAACAACACTTTATGGACTTTGTCAGGTGAATTCCCTCAAAATCAGCTGCTAGTGGGGGAGGCTGGGGGCAGATGTAACACTTTTCACATGCTACTTTATGGACTTCATACTGCAGTATTTCTTATATATTGAGTGAAACTCCAGCAGTAACACATTAGCTCAAGTTTCTGAGCCAAGTATACATGCATATCCACATCTAAATATAAACACATACAGTGTGATTACACACGTCCTCCATTGTTTCAGCTAGACGCCGATAACCACACATAAAAAAACAGAGTATCTGGAGAACATCCTGAAACACTTTTCCCGTTCATTTCCTGCAGATCGAGCTGCAATTAGCACAACAAAAACAAACACCTCCTGTTGAGTTGGAGGACTGTTTTCATTGGTCTGGCCTCCTTTCTTCTTCTGCTCATTTGCTTTTTCACTGACATCCTATAAAATGTTGTGTGGGTCTCCTGTCTGTGTGGTCACATCCTGTCAGCACAGTCTTGTTCTCCAGGCTGATGCAGTTTGTGAACGAGCCAGGTGAAGGGTCAGCTCCACAAACATCCTCGAGGGAGCTGGATGTTAAAAGCAGCAGTCTGACGAGGATCTCGGCGGGCTGTTTTTGGGCTCTGCGGTTTCTGCTGAACCCCTGTTTAACAACGGGACAATGTCTTTACAAAGTGTCCGCTCTGAGCTCTTCCAAAATTGAGCTCACAAACTCCCTCAGAGTCAATAAACATCTGTTAATCAAGCTGCCAGTTCCTGTAAAAGAGCTCTGTTCTGCGCTCGCGTCATGTGTTTGGGCTCGGAGGAGGCTCTCTTGATATCAGGCTCGTTCTGAGTGGACTTGATTGACGTGGGCTGAGCGAGTTGGCCTCATGCGCAGGTCCTGGAGCCTGTTTCTGCTGGCATGCTTGTGGCTCCGAGTGGCTGGTAAGTAGTGATTACTGGACTTGGCTTGAGCAGCTGCTGTAGTGGAGTAAATTGTGGCGATGTGGCCCAGGAGAGCCCCCCTCCCTGCTTAATGACATCAGGAAACACCGCCCAGGTTCACCCACGGCGCAGCGTCTGGAGCTGGTGTGTGTGGGTGGAACAAAGAGAAAGGTGGAAAGTGGCTGAAAATAGGACTGAAGGAAGAATCCATATGTGCTTTTTCACATGCATAATGTGTGTACATTCATACCTAATTGTTTTAGTGAGTGTGAGTATAATAAGTGGGTGTTAGGCAAACACTGAATAGTTTGTTCTGTGCTGGACCAAAGTAGCAGCATATAGAGCTGGATTACAGACCCTATAAAACTACTGGAGATCATGATATGATTCAGATTTGACATATTGGCTGACAGGCTTACCTGGACACTGAGCAAAACTTGACCTTTGACACATGTTTGAGCTGGAGTTATATAACTCTATTCTGTGATGCTGGTTACATGAAGTGAATAACTTAATAATGATGCCAATGGACCTTTTTATCCACTAGAAGCGTATTCAAAAGGCTATTTTTTATTGTTTTATATACCAAAAAGCTATCCAGAGGTCACTTTGTGTCTAATCCTCAGGACAGTAGCTCCTGTCGCAGGAGTCATGTTATGATTTCATGTCATGTAAAAAAAGGCTTCAGAGAGGAGCTTCTGTATGTAGTGTTTCATATACCTCAGGAGCATGCAAGAGGACACCTCTGCAGGGTTTTGTCAAAGATCAACTCTGCATCCCCTTCTTTTTCTTCTCCTTCTTCTTCTGCTAAAGGTTGCCTCTTCCTCCACAGTAAACAGCATGTGAAATGGCTCTATTACGGTTACAGTCACAGGGGTTTTAGTTTGAGTCACATTCCATTTTCAAACCCACAAATTCACCAGTAAAGCAAGGATTTACAGGTGGGCAAACCAGTAATGTAACCATGAAATACGCTAAAACAAGGGGCTTGATTATAAAAGACATGGCTCCAAGGCGTTTAACGGCTTTTTGGCTAATAATCTGTGTGTTGATTGAGAAGTCAGGATGCAGAGAGGTTGGATTCAGATCTTTGATTATTCATGGGTGTGTTACGGGCAAAACATAAATCAAACCAATCAGTGCATCGCTCTCCTTCCCTTTAAAAGACAGATACTCCAGCAAGCAGACATACAGTTATCTCCAAAGTGTATTTCAGTCTTTCTATGCCAGACTTGAGCTAGTACAGTACATTGATTTCCCCAACTCCTACTTTGCCCCCATATCTCCGCCTATGTCTGTTTCTGCATATTTTTAAGAGTGCGCATGATGGAGAGCTTGGCGACAGTCTTGGTCTGCAGGACCGCTACCTCTGAGATCTACACCTTACAGTATCTATGTGTTTGGAAATGTGGGGAAATTACTGTCTGTCCCAACAAACACTCATTTCAGTGAGAAAGCAGAGGAGTGCACACAGTGGACTCAGACATTTCACCAGGACCTCACCACTCAGTTGTAACACCGTTGAAGATAAATCTCTTTAATAGTCGAGACCGAGTGGTTGGAGTAGGTCTGGTATAATGTGAAAATAGAGTTACAAAATAACAAGGTGTCTTAGTAGCACGCAATGTACCTTTAAGTGCTTTGTGCATACACTAACCCTGTGCTACCATACACACTGAAAGCAGTGTGTGTGTGTGTGTGTGTGTGTGTGTGTGTGTGTGTGTGTGTGTGTGTGTGTGTGTGTGTGTGTGTGTGTGTGTGTGTGTGAGTTGTATGTCTGGAGCTGTCATTCCCTCCATACCACTTTGTTCATCTCAGCCTGTCTGGATTTTAATGAAGGGAAAGAAACACTTAAAAAGCCATATGAGTGAGCAATTACCATTAACAAAATATAATCCTAATGGTTTCTGGCTTCATTAAACATCGCAGACAAGTCGGCCATGATACAAATATTTTATGGCGCTTATTTCTTGCATTTATTTAATCAGTGACCATTTTTCCATCCCTGCTGATTGTTGTTTTTTTGGAGCCTCTGTCGCTCTGACGGGCCAAAGCTGGAGAAGAGCCTTGGGTAAGCATTATCTGTATTGCTGTTAAGCAGACGCACTGCCAGCAAAAAAAGCATTAGCCAGCATGAGCGAGGGAAAAAGGATGAATGAGTGGGACAGCGCATCGTCCCTCCCTCTCTCCTTCTCTTGTCTCCACCTGTCTCGCAGCTTCTACTAAAGCAGCCCTCAGGGAGAGTTGAGGCAGAAGAGTCATCATTGTCGGAGGAGGAGTGTTTTCTTTTCTTTTTCAGGGAAGGAAAGGGGATCGATATCTCTCGTAATCGTCCTCTCCACGTTGACATTTCTCTGCCTCTCCTCTGAGACTGTTTAAGCGTTGGATGAATAAAGCTGTCATGGCCCATTCCACCCCTCGTCCTCTAAAAACCCCTGCATCCCTGGCAGCCAGCCCTCCACATCCTTCCATCATCCAGCAGCACCATTGGCTTGGGCGGCCTCAGACGGTGACTGATGGTGCTCTGTGATTGGAGGAGGCTAATTAGAGACCTTCTGAGGCAGGGTGATGGATGGATTAGCACCGCCCACTTCCCCTCCCTTCCGCCGTGGTTACGAGCGACTTCGAGTGATTTGTCTGAGGATGTTTCCTGGTTGTGTTCGCTGCTAATTAAAAGTACCTAATCAAATGATCGGCATCGGCATGTCTGAGGGGGAATGTACCACAGTATCAACGCTGCTCAGGCTCCTCAGAGCAGCAAACAACATGAAACATTAATTGGATGAATGCTGATGCAGTGACCACTGTCTGCCCTGTCTGTGTTTTTTTTTTTCTTTTCTTTTTCTGTTAGATAAATAACCTTGGATATTATAGTGGCTTTAAACCTTTGATACTTTAATTTCACTTGATTGTAAAGCTATTTGTTAAAGGGAAAAAAAGAGAACAATAAGCTGTTTTTGCAAGCAGGTCCATATAAATCTTGTATGTTTTGAAAGATATGGTTAATAAATCTCAAAAAGTGGTCATTCCTACAAATGAGAATGTCTCTTATCCTTAAAAAAGTCATTTTCTGGATGGCAGCATATGTCGCTCCTAAACCTGTATGTATTTTCAGCATTAATGGAGCCTTGGCAGATGCAGGTATAAAATCAGCTCACATTTTTTCAGTGTGCACCATTAAATATATACCCAAACCATCCAAATCTATTTTCATTCACATTTCTGCAGCTGTGTTTCAACTTTTTTGGAAATTTGGGGTTGTAAATTCTCCGTCAAAGTTAACGAATATCTTGAGTTGTTTAAACTCTCCCCTTACACTCCTCAAAGCCCCTGATTCCTCCTCAAAAATGCAGAGGTTGTGACCTCAGGGTCCTCGGTGTTACGGCCCTGCTAACACGTGAATAATTGAATTTGGAGACACGTCATTTCGAGGTCACAGCTCGTTCATGTGAAATGAAACAACCCCTTTTTTTCACCGGTGTTCAGTATTTTGGTCCTGACATGTTTTCTTTAAGTGACCAGCCTTAGAGGATTGGATTTCATTCCCATGCACCATGTTCACATAAATGTCATACAAACAACTGGTAGTATTTAAAGCATGTTATATGAAATGTAAGCAATCCAGCGTTTTAGATATATGGCCTTTTTAAACAAGGACGCGCTGATGTTTGTCATTATTTCTGCCTTCAGCTGGCCATTCCTCGGACTTTTTATGTTCTCAATTAGTCTGGGCTGGATACGGACCTAACATCTAAAAGTCAAACAGCGTTTGTGGACTCTAATTGAAACCAGAGTGTTTTTCTTCAATACGATTTGGTTATTAGCAGATCATAAAGTCCTGATGACATAATGTGGTTAGCATGGTCGCGCTCTGGTTTACCAATCCGCCGCTTTTCTCTCTCTTTTTTCCTCTTTTTCTTTTATTTCTCTCTCCCTCGCTCTTTGGTCGATGGACTGAGCGGTTGCATTCCTGAGCCGCCCGTTGCAATAACAGCTCAGCACTTTAAGCAAACTCTTCTCACCGCAAAACTCCCCCTTCCTCCTCCTCTTCCCCCTTCCTCCTCCTCCTCCTCCTCCCTCTTAAATGTTCATTTCATCTTGTGATCTGATCTGAAGGCAGGTTTCTATTATAAACCAATCAAAAAGCAGCAGCCTCAGCCCCGTTCAGACTAATTCCTCATTTCCTAAACACAGATAAGACACAGAGATTATGAACCCATGCCATCTTTTGGTTTTCCTCCCTTCCTGTCTTCCTTCCTTCTAATGTTTTATCTTTATGTCCTTCACTCCTTCTGTCTTTACTTTCTTATGTTTATCTATCCCCTCCTTTATTCCCTCAGTCCTTCCTTCCATTTGTCTTCCCTACCATCCCTCTACCCTCCCATCCTTCTACTGCCTATCTTTCTATCCCACTGTCTTCCCAAGTCCCTCCTTCCTTCCGTTGGTCCTTCCTTCCTGCGATCCTCCCTACTTCTTTCCATCAGTCTTTCCTTTTTCCTTTTTGTTCTTTGCTTTTTAAGTTCTGACCTACATTTTGTTTCCTTACTCTTTCTTTCTTTCTTGTCACTTTCTTTCTTTTTATTCGTTCTGTCTTTCTGTACCACCCTCCCTTGTTACAGGCGCTCCACCCAGCTTATTTCTCCTTAAAGACAGGATGAAGTAAAAGAGGAGAGCAGGGAAAATATTCAGTGCCCAGACCATGAAAGAGAGCCTGTGGAGTATTAAAAAAAGAAAACGTCTGTATGTCAGAAGATGGAGGAGCTGGGGTCACACACACACACACACACTCACACACACACACTCACACTCTGCTGCAGTAGGAATGAGTGGGCCCCTGCCGTCTAGCGTGCAGAGTGGTGGAGAGGTTGGTATCTCTTCAAAGACCCCTGCAGCTTTCCCAGAAGACATCATCCGCGTGTCTAACTCCCACCAGACCCGCATACGCCGCCGCCGAGTGTGTGTGTGTGTGTGTTTGTGTATGCACACTTCAATGGTGTGATTAAGCCCCCAAAATTGGGGACAAATTGCTCTCAGGTGCAGAAACTTTGGGATAAGATGATTTTTCTCAACCACTCTCTGCTCTCCTATCGCCCACTTTCTCTCACCCTTCACCCTCTCCCTCCCTCTCCTGCCCTGTCTCCTCTTTCCCAGCTTCTTTTCCTCCCTCCTATCCTTTTTACGCCCTTACCCCGTGCCCCTCTTTTCATTCCATCACGCTCTCTTGGAAACTCTCCGGGCTGCAGGACGAGTGCGAGGCAGGGAAAAGGCTCTGTTTCTTTATACCTACAGAATAGATTACTTCCAACTGCTCTCAGAGGAACTTCTCTTCACTGATATCAAAGCCCGTTTGCTGCTTTTGTAGGCAGACAGAGTGGAGGAGCTCTTTCTTTCCTCTCTTTGCCTCTGACATAAGAGCTCCTTTATCCACCGAGTGTGTGTGTGTGTGTGTGTGTGTGTGTGTGTGTGTGTGTGTGTGTGTGTGTGTGTGTGTGTGTGTGTGTGTGTGTGTGTGTGTGTGTGTGTGTGTGTGTGTGTGGATATGTGTGTGGATGTGTGTCCACTGATAAGTTTAGTGGTTCCTAAAGTGGTGCTCATGCAGCATTAAGAGCACATTGTGCGCGATGGGGTAATAATAATCTGAGCATGATATAATGAACATTAAGTGCAAAAGAAAAAAAGACATTAAAGTTGCATCAATTTTCAACTTTCAAGAGGTGAAGGGAAACTTTTTAACGATTCTCCACTGAGACTAAAAAGTCTGGAAAAACTTGGAGAATACAGCAAAAACTGATTCAGGCCTTCAAAGATTCAAAGTTGACTAAGCTTTCTGCAGACTTGGAGCTGCTCGTTTAAGGCTTAGAAAAACAGTCAGTATTTGCTGCATTAAACACAGGTCTCTTTGGGTAGGTAAAGTGTCTTGATTGACAAAAGAGCCCCTGCCATCTTTGGACTGGACCAGAGACCTTCCCAAGTGATCTCAGTACGTGGTCAAAAGACCCAGACTTTTCTTTTCCTCTCTGTATGACTTATTTTTGCAGACAGCAAAGTTCACTGACAAGACAAAGTGGACAATTATCCACAACTAATGTACACTAAAGCTGCTTCTGTCATCAGGTGCGGCAGAATGAGACAGAGCAGTCAGAGACTTACATGTTAGGACACTGCATTTGCTTGGCAGAATATATCAAACCAAATTGTTCCTGAGAAAAGTCTTTGTCTGGATGTCAGCAGATGTTTCTCCTAAACCTGTAGATATTGTTCAGCATTAATGGAGCCTTAACAGATGTGGAAGATACCCATGACATGGATTCTGATGATCCACATACCATCAGGCATGCTGGTTTGAACTGTGAGCTGATAACAAGCTGGGTGGTCCCTCTCCTCTTTAAAACAGAGGTAGCATCCAACTTGCCAGCCCACATGACAGTTATCTGCTTTCAGGGTATCTGCAGGGTCTTTAAAAGTCTTAAAATTTCTCGTATCCAATAGTTTGAATTTCAGGTCTTAAAATGTCTAAAATTTTGTTCAAGTCTCATAAAATCTTAAATGCGTTTTCGAAAGGTCTTATAATTGTATTAATTTTACTTACAAATAAATCAGGTGCCAAATGAATAAAGATTGATTTGAAGTAATGTAAAATTTTCTGATTTCTCTTTCACTCCTTTGTACTTTTTTGTCAGTATGGATGTGAAATGGTTCTTAAATTGTATTCATTACAGTCTTTAAAAAGTCTTAATAAGTCTTAAATTTGTTAAAACCTGCAGAGACCCTGTGCTTCACCTCAGTCCATCTTAAATGAGCTTTGGCCCTGAGACTATGGTTCATTTGTTGATACACTGATGAGCTGTGGTCACACACAGTGGTTTTTGGAAGTGATTTTGACCCTCTGTGGTGACTTCCACTACAGTCATGTCTACAGAGTGCCTGGAGATCCAGTATTGTTTATTGTCTTCTCCCATTTGTACCAAGATTTCTCCAGATCCACTTAGTTCTTGTTCTACAACCAGATTTTTTTTCTAAAACGTGATTTCTGGAGCCTCTGCAGACAGCCTCAAGTGGACACTCAGGGAAGTGCAGTTCTTAGCATTTCTGAATTTGCTTCATTTCTTAAGGTTGCCACTTGTTGGAAACATGTTGCTTAAAAAAAAATTGGCAGTCCAGCATCTGATATAATATCTCTTGACTTTTTTTGCTAACCATCAACTTTTGTTTCATTAAAATAATTCACATTTTTAATCGGGGTAGTTGGATATTAACATTGTGATCATCTCTGAAAACATGATATGCTCTCACAATCTTCTTTATTATATTCCTTTTTTCCTCTTTGTTTTTGCTCACACTCCTGCAACTGATTTTTGCCTTTCACCTCAACCTTGTTTATTCTTCTCCCCGTGGTGTTCTGTCACAGGCTGACCTTTGACCCCTGGTGATGATTCTGCAGAGAGGGCGATGATTGCACTGGCTGCGCTGTGAGGTCTGTTACTGGGCAGAACAGACAGCCAGCTTTAGAGAGACTCTCTGTCTCCTTGCCTCTAACCTCTCTATCTCTGCACCTAAACGTCTGCCCTCCTCTTCAGCGATAATGAGATAATGAAAGGCTGAAATATTTTCCTTTTTTGTACCGCAAACACACACTTTGTATGGAGGCCATATGAAATAGAAAGCATACACAGTTCTATACCAGAGAGAGAGGACTATGTCTGGGTTGAAATGTGCAGGAAAGCCTCCAGCCCTTGAAGTTTGGGTTTGATGTATGAGAGCTGTAGGCTTTAGGGATGAAATTCAGTTATATGTTTTTTTTCCATGTGGTTGAAACTTCAGGGCTTTTCTTGCCATCACATTTGATGCACGGTCTTGATGTTATGGATTTTCAGCTTTCCTCATCTACAGTTTCATTTTATCTCAGCGTGTTTGTGTCTTTGTGTGTGTTCCAGCCAGCGCAGTGAGCCAGGTGTGCCTGGGAGTCCCTCACTTCAGAGGCCAAAAGTTCAAAGGTCAGCTCCCTCTACCGGATCTCTCCACGGGGTCTAAACTCTTCTAAGGAGCAGAGATAAAGGCACCATCTGATCCTCAGCGTCACTCGGGGCCTGAGCTCTGACAGAGATGAAAGCAGAGAAGCTCGTTGGAAATGACTTTCTTGTCGCTGCTTCAACTTTTAATTTCCTTAATTGATTTTCCCCTTTCCCGCAGAGGTAAGGGTTTGCAGACACAAAACTAATTGATTTCAAATTTTAATCCCTCTTACCGCTGAGCCATCGAGGGGCCTCTCTGCCATCGATCTCCAATCCATCCAAACTCAATTAAAGTGCTTAAAGAGCGATGGCAGGAGGCGGAGGAGCAGAAGGACCTCTCTCCTCTTGGGTTTCATCTCTCTACTTCCAAGAGTCAGATGTTGCTCTGCTACATTTATTATCTATTTAATCTTACAGCCCTGATAGATGGTTTTATATACCCAGTGCATTTTCAGTTATGTTTGTAATACTTGAATGCTATCTTTTTATGAGTGTTTTATCTTTTTCAAACTGCTTGATGCTTGATGTGGCTCATCTGACTTTACTGTGCCTGTTAAAAACGTTCTTTTCTGAAATGCATGTGGCGCCTCTGCAGGATTGTCTCTTTAAAAAAGGTTGTTGATTCGGCGAAATAGTTACTTTCACAAACTGTCAGTTGTAAACAAGCCTTTACGGAGAATCTGTAGCCTCTCAGTATCCGTGCAGTGATCTGAGTGTAACGATAATGAGGCACTGTGCTGATTGGCAGCTGAGGAGGAAGGGTCCCACTGAGCAGTAGATGGCTATTAGACATCTAATTTTTTTTAGACCTAATTTCAACCGTCTAGATTCTGTAGATTTTTAGACGGAATTTAGACATTGCACTTCAACCGATTATATGATAACTATTTATTTCAAAAAGTAACTGTGAGTTGCATGACTGATCTCCAAGTATTTAACCAAAATAATTGATAGTTATTGAGCAATAGACAGTGTAGTAGAGATATAGCCCAAATTCAGTCTAAACTTGGTCTAGACGTCTAAAAAGCTTTCAATTTTATACCTAGCCTGACTTTAGCTAGTCATCTAGGCTACATTTAGACGTCAATTAGACTTCTTTTAGACCAAATAATGCTCATTGGGGTGCAGACAAATGCGGATTCGGAAAAACATAGAATGAACATGACAAGTGCTTCAGGAAAATCCTTGCTAATATGCAACACAAATAATCCAGGATCTGAGCCTGAAGAGGAAGACACAACTGTTGACTTATTATCATTGGTATCATTGGATTGGTAATGTCAGAGGGTAACAGTTTGACTCACTTGCCAAATACACGTTACACTGCATTTTGCACCACAATCTTGGATGTTTTAGCTCATCCTTAAATTGGATATTTGCATGCAAGTGCCACAAACAGTTTGCTCTTGGACATTGTTTCTCAACACAAACTCCATTAACCCCCTTTTGAAGCTGGCAAAAAATCCTGCACAGAGGTCCTTAATATTGCAAACCTGAAAATCTGCTCATACTGAAAATTCCATGTGACCTGTCATACCGCAGATATTGAAGAAAAGATGATGGTGATTGGGTTTGTTTCAAAGATACATAAGAATATTATCTCCAGCAAAATCAAAACTGTCTGTCAGAGTGTTCTACAGTATGTTCTCTGTGTGGACGTGTGGAACTGTGGAACTGTACCACACCCTAAACAGACAAACAGATTATTTCCTCCCTCCGGCAGACTCGGTAGATTTTTTTCTGAAATGTTTTTTTTTTTTTTTTAATGATGTCGTGTTTTAGCGAGGTTAACTTTATAGCAGTCTGAGGGCTTTGAAAGTCCTTGTGGACTCTAGCAGCTTTGGAGTAAAATGAAATTGAAGCGGTCCTCTCTCGCACTTTCACTTGAACTTCAAAGGCTCTGAACTTTGGCAGAGGGGAGGGCATTGAAATGAATTGTTAAAAATATCCTACTGCAGTAGTTTATAATGAACATTATGTGAGTGTGTGCATGTGTATGTGTGTGTGTGTGTGTGTGTGCGTGCTTGTGTGTGTATGCATGGAGAAGCTGACATCAGCACTTGGGGGAAAGATTTATGACTGTGTAAATAAGGGTGGGGTTCTGGCCCAAATGTAGAGTGTGTGGGTCACATCCCCATATGAGAGTCTCAGGTTATCCCAAAGAGACAGATCTCACCTCAGACCCATTTATTCCCATATAAGCAACATTCACAAAGACATAGGCCTACTAAGGACTTGGTGGTTTTTGTAGACCTCAGATTTAGGTTCTGGCTCATATCAGGCACTTTTAAGTCAGGCTTGTTTGACTTAAATTTTTCTTTTTTTAATTTGTCATAACTCACTCTTGTTTTGCTGGATTTCAGGCTGTCTTTCCTCCTTTTGTCATCTTTTCTCAGCTTTAATTTGGTCAGCCGTTTTGTGCATTTGATGTTAACGCTAGATAAGTTGTTCAAATATTAATAAAAACCTTAAACAATCAGTCCAATCAGGATCATGAGGAAAAGCAAGATGAGGACGGTGACTTTGTCAACTTCACAAAGTGTTAAAGACATGTTTTAGCTTTTGGACTGAAACTTAAAATTAGTTAAAACTTACCAACCTCTTCTGCATTTCATTCCAAATCTCGTGTGAGAATTTACCTGATTCTGAGTCAGTCACCTGTTATGCATTAGAAGATTTTGTTTTGACCATTTGCTGTCGTACATGTAGGCTCCTCAATTCGCCTCTGTGCTTTTATTTCAAAAGGACGTATACGACGCTTTATGTAGATTCAGAACCAATTATTTTATCAACAGCTAAAAATACAAGTAGAAATGTCAATATTCAAATCATTATGCATTTTATGACCCTCCACTAATTCAGGCTTTCTAGCTTTGATGTTAAACTGTTAAGAAGTTTATTCCTGGAGAATAAGTGGGTCCCTATGAAGTTTTCCAAAGTATTCCAGGTGTCTGCCAAGTTGCTCACCATCCTCCCATCTCCTTGAGTCCCTGGTTGAGTGGAGCATCTATCTTGATGGATTTGGGCTCAGATTGGGATCGACAGGGCCATTTTGTCCCACAGTATAAGTGCTGTCTCCAGGATTACCCCTGTCCTCAAGGCTGACTCCAACGTTAATGGCACAGCAGCTGAAGGATGACAACCATAACAGCAGCACATGCCCGGTATTATCTGGGTTCAGTCATGTCCAGAAGTGGATAGGTTGGCGTGAATACACATGTGTTTCTGAGAATACCAGCGACCCTCTGATCCTGATTGCAGTTCTCATTATAAAACAAGAGGATACCATCTCATATGGAAACCATCAAATCATGGCCGGGCAGAGCAGTTGGCTCAAACTTTGTGGCTGACGTTGATGGATCTATTACGATCCGTATGGAGAGGAAATAAAAAATAAATGCTGCCCCAGATTCCAAACTTTAAAAAAAGGATGTCATTTGTTTTTCCTGGCTGTGTGATGGAGAAAGAAGTGTAACACAAGCTCTGGAAGCAGTCGACAGACATGGACACAAAGGGGATGTAGTCCCTGGATTAGTCCTCCTGTTGACAGAACTCCATGGATCCCAGAAAACAAGAACATGGTATCTTAGAGGGAGTCAATGTTTGCCATAAAATGATAATGGGCCTCAGCCGAGTACAACCACTGATGTTACTGCTGGATAAGAGGAGAAGGAAAAATATACTACTGAGTGAGTAATGAGACTTAAAGGTTAATCAGAGAGTTTAGGGGGCACCTGATTGCATCGTATCCATCTGAAGGATAAACTTCATAATGTTTTATCCATTACAAGGACAAAAAGAGGGCAGAGCTTTAGCAGTTCAACTACAAGAAGAACACCTTCATAAAACTTTATTTGGTTTTATCTGCTGATTGTTTAGCAGAGGGCATTTGTTTATCTCCTGGGAGTCATCTAACTTGCTAGAGGGCAGGAGGACACTGATTCCTAATATTATTTCCCTCTTAGCAACAAGAAAAGCATCCTGGAAAACATGTTTTAACAACTGGAAGAGTATCCAGAGGGTACTTTTTATGGCTTCTCTATTAGAAGGCTTTCCAGAGAGGAATCTTTAATGCTCAAGCTACAGGAAAATCATCCAGACTGTGATAATTTCAGGTTCAATCCACTAGAAGGGTTTCCAAAGGGAGTATTTGTGCTGAAAATATCCTAAAGGTGCAATTTAATTTACAACATGCTGTAAGGGCATCCAGAGGAGACTTCTTAGTGTCAAACCCACTAAGTTGTTTATTTTAATGTTAAATTCACAGAGGAACTTACCGTTTTTTTTAAAGTTATTTGGAGGGACATTCAGAGGACGATTTGTAATGTTACCATTACAAGAAGGGCATCCAGGCAGCACCTTTTAAGGGTTTATTTAGCAGTAGAGTTTCCAGAGAGACTTTTTAAAGTTAAATCCACAGGAAGGGCATCGAGGGGGTGCTTTTTTAAAACACAAAGTACTGAGAGTGAGTCAAAAGGTCACTCTTCTAGGTCCAGTCCACTGGAAGGACATCCAGTGGGGACTTTTCTTTTTCTAATATCTGATCCACTTGATGTGTTTTCTGGGTGGGGATTTTTTAATGTTGAAGGACATCCAGGTTGCATGTTATGTTATTTCCAGTAAAAGATCATCCTGTTGGTCCTCTGGAAGGGCATTCAGGAGTCATTTTGTACTTCAAAACCATTGAGAAGGAGTTGTCATTTGCCCAGAGTTGATTTCTAATTTCCTCTCCTCTTCTAGAGGGGCATCTAGAGGATAATTAATTTTTTGTGGGCCACCAGTTGGTCATCTGAGGTGAATTTTTATCTTTGCTGAGACTTTAAGATTACAGTTTCTTGATACCAACCCCCTTCTCTAAATACACAGCTGTCTACAGCGGCTCCCTGTCACTGACTCTCTCTCTCCTCTTATTCCTTCCTTTTACAACAAGCCCTCCCTGCGCACTACGATTTTTTAAACACATTTTAATATGAAAATAATTGAAGGAAAGTGTTACAAGGGATTTTGGCACTAACAGCTGACAGCAGTTGCAGTCCTAAGACTCTTTATGAAGACATTAAGCTGTCTAATTACCAGCTGTTGCTTCTCCTCATTTCAAACGCCTCCTCAAAGTCATGAGCTGCTAAAGTCTGTGCAGAAGTAAAGAGCCTGAATGGAGTTTCATATTTTACTCGGCTTTATTGGATTCTGTGACTGTTTACATGAAATGCTTGATAAACAGGATGGAAGTGGATTAAAAGGCAAAACACAAGATGCATGTGACATAACTCATGAGGGAATAAAGACAGAATAATAGGAACATTTCAGATTACTGTGCTGCTTATTGTTTGTATGACTTTCCCTGACGCTGTTTGGGTAGTCTGTGCACATGTTTACATTTGAGTTTTGATAAGATCCCATCTGATTAAAAATTATGCATGGTCACTCTACCCAGTGCACCATAAGCTGTGTAATAATATACAGCAGACATACTTAATTCAGCTCAATGAAACATAATAGTTAGATAGGTTGTGGGAAAAACGGGACTTACGATATTAGTTAGAGTAAGACTTCCATGACTGTGGGGTGAATATTGAACTGCAGCCAAGACAACTTTAATATCTGAGCACACAGACCGGAAACTTTGTGCTGAGATATGTAACAGGGACTTGAGAACTTGGGTTAGAGATGGTACCAGAGATGTCCACAGCCATGTACACCAAACATGGAGGATATGGTCAGTGCTGGTTTGACCTGTAGTTACATTTTTGGGATTAACACAGACTTCTGTGCATATACAGATGGTACTACAGTATGTCATGGCGTGCGTCAAACACTGAAGTATAAAGAAGTGAAAAGAGCAGGGCACATGATACAGCAGAAATCTGGTGATCCTATTTGGAAAGCAGTTCCTCCAACTTTGGTGCTATTATTTTGGACAGTCTGGTGTAATTTTTCCTGACTTTTTAACCAACAATTGATGCTTGTAAATTCTAAAAAGTTGCTTTCATTGACATACAGCAGCTGGGTTTTATTCAAGTTTAACATGGTTTATCAAGTATGCAAAACCTGTCCAAAAACATTTCCAAATCCTTGAAATTTACTCCAATAAACTTTTTCCAACCTTTCATTGTTGCAGGAGTAAAGTGAGTCATCCTTTACAGCACTGCGATCAGAGCTCTGTGGTTAAAGAGAAAAAGCACTATAGCATTGTGGCGTGCCAATGGGAAAAACTGCCTTTTGGATATGATGTGTTGCCTGATCCGGACCAGTCCAGAGAACGGGGAATAAGAGGAGTTTGGGCTGGGAGAGGAGTGGAAGAAGAAGAGAAAATATGGGAGCTATCAGCACTCACCTCTGCAGAAAAACAGAGCCATGATGAAAGCAGAAGGCAGAGAGGAGGGAAAGACTGACAGGCTCCGACAGACGGAGAGTGAAGGTTAAAATGACAGAGAAGGGGTTCAGCGGGAAGGAGGAGGAGAACTGGACAGCTGGGATGAAACCAGAGTTACAGACAGGCAGACAGACGTCTCGAATCAGCAAACATGAATTCACCTTTAACACCCAGTTTACCTGGCAACAGCTGAGAAAGAGATGAGTTAACAAAGAGTCAAGGAAGTGAGCAAAACAAACTCTGTAGAACTTTGACCACCCTTTTCATTTATTGTTCAGTTGGATTAATGTTATCAGTGGACTCTGTGTGTCTTTAGATATGGTAGATGATTTGCCCTCAAATTCATACAGTACAAATGAAAGGCATTACCATTAAAAAACACTGAAGCCCTCCACAATTATTAAGAATTATTAGGGGTCCTTCAGGTGCAGACAGGATGGAGGCTGCACAAATAGACTTAGTATACGTCAATCAGCTGACAAGTCTGGGAAACTGTCTTATTTTAAAGTATTGTAAGCCAAAGATGAGACCTGGATTCCAAGTAATACATTACAAATTCAGCTTATAGAAAAATAAAAATGACGAACTTACTATGTACTTACTGGTTGGGATTGAAAAAATACTGATCCAAGAGACAAAGTTGTCAAAATACTCAGAACAACACCTCATCTGAAGACTAACAGGCCTATGAGAGCACAACACTGGGGAAGTACATTTGCAGCTCCTTCAGTTTAGTTCAGAGACTAGAAATAATCACTGCTTTGGATATTTGTTTAAAGAAAAGACTTTTCATGTGTAAGAAAACGTCCAACTTTTTAAATAGTCTCCTGCAGAGTGACCTGGGATAAACGGATGACTCTGAGGGTTTCGTTGTGTTTGCATTTGTAAGATTGTGTGAGTATTTTCATTGAGGACAAAGCAGCTGGTAATATGTAGTGTCTCTCTCTATGTGCACGTATGAATGTGCACGTGTGTGTGGTCTCCCCTTAATGATTATTATGTTTAACTCCCATTTCATGGGTAAAGTCATTACACCCAGATTTTTCCGTTCTCCTGGCAATGGAAAGGAAAACATATTCCCTTCTGTCACTTACTGCTGAAACCTCGAGACACAGAAACACAGACTCGTGCGCAAACACACACACTCGTGCACAAACACACACACACACACACACACACTGGCAACTGATGACGAACCATTATTTGGGTTTGCGTGGTGTTCTTCACTGAGAAGGGTTGTGGGTCGAGACTTGGGTATATGAGAGTCACCAATCTTAATAAAGACCACAGACACATACACAAACACACACACGACCCGCTGTGAGTTACCACGGAAACCAACCGCTGATGGTGCCCCGCTGTATTTAGGGACAATCAATCACTGTGACAGGCGGCTCCCAGCACCTTGCGGGATATTTGGAGGGGCGGGGGATTTCCAGAGGTGGAGGGAGGAGCTGGGTCGCTTGTGGTATTCTCATAATCGCCATGACCTTTGACCAGTTAGACCTGTTTAGTGAAAACAGTTCAGTGACATTGATCAGAGTAAATTGAACAGATCATAAAAAGCCTGAAAGTGAGCAGTGGGGTCGGAGTGCATGGTTGGGGCGTGTTAAAGCCTGACCCAGCTAATACTCTTCCTGACGTTTGATTAGAAAACACTAAGAGCCCAACAGGAGTTTTAGAGCCTACAAGTGACCTTAACTGGAGGTGAAGGGTCAAACTGAGGAGGAGAGACGATTTCTAAACACCTCATGAGATTGAACACTGAGCTCTAACACATCTGCTGGGTTTATATCACAGGGTGATCGTGATGGCTTCACATGATGGCTGTGTCAAGAGAGAATGTGAGCTAAGAGAACAAAATATAAACATGTTTTATCAATTTTCCAAAAATCAACAAAAGAAGGTACACTTCCAAGTATTTGGATACAGATACATTTTTTAATCTTCATATATAAGCCCCATCCTTTATTTGCCTTTACTGCAGTAAGTACCAGGCCTCTATATGAAGCAGGCTTATTATAGACCAGGGGTCGGCAACCTTAAACACTCAAAGAGCCACTTGGACCAGTTTCCGACAGAAAAGAAAACACAGGGAGCCACAAAACCTCTTTGACATCTAAAATGAAGATAACATTGCATATATCTTTTTTTTTTTACCTTTATACAAAGTATATAAAACACTGTAGCGAGTTGCATTTATGAAATAAATGAACTATTTCGGCGAGTGTCTGTCTTCTTCTGTAGTTAAACCGCAAGATATCAAAATCTACCCGGATACAGCAATGCTGCTTTTTGATTGGCTGTTCAGTAGATATACTTTATTTGATTGGCTTGTGCGTGGCACGCAGCTTCTGAACTCTCGGAGGAACTCAGTTGATTTCCCCCAGTTCATCACCGTGTTCATTTAAATGCGTGAGAAATACAATGTGTGGTGTGTGAGCGTGTGAACGAGTGGGAATGCGTGTGTCATACGCTGAATGCGTGAGACTTGAGAGCCCTGTGCTCACGCATCATCGATGTACTCCCGAGCCATGCAAAACGGTCTTTGCAAATGTTGCACTGAACGCCTTCCTTTTCAGTCTTGGTGAAGTTTTCCCACACCACTGATGTTTTAGGTCGGGATTTGGGTTGGGTTGTGTCCATGTTTTTCTCAGCCGCTGCCTCGACCATGGCTGTTTCTTTTCTGTGCGTCCTGCTAATGTTTACACGCCGGTAATATATAAAGACCCGACGAATCGATTACAGAATTTGTTGGCAACGGATTTTTTCGTCACGACGAATCTACTTAATCAATTCGTTGTTGCAGCCTTAATAGTTTATTTAATGTTACAAGAGCATTATAATCTTTGAATTTAGAATTACAAAAAAATAATAATAATAATAAAATAAAATAAAATGCAATTAAGTATTTATTATTTATTTTCCAAATCCACTGGGAGCCGCAGCTTAGGGAAGAAAGAGCCGTATGCGGCTCCAGAGCCGCGGGTTGCCGACCCCTGTTATAGAGGCAGGCCTTTACATCAAATGTTGTCCTCCTGAGATTTTTAATTTGTCATTGCCCACTACACATGTGCAATTAAGTTAAAAAAGCATTTTAATTCACATTTGCATTGCAAAAAACACATAATAAATAATCTATAAGTGATAAACAGTATATACAGTCTAATAATATTACTTTTACATGACTGTTTTTTTTTATAAAACAAAGAGTCGATTTAGGTTGACGCCCGAGTTTTTATTTACTCTTTTTTCTTTAAACAAACTGCTTTTCTCTTGTTCTCTCTTCCAAAAAGGATAAATAAAGTTGTATCTGCTGTACTGTAACCTAATGTAAACTAATCTTATCTAAGACAGGAGTAAACTGTGAGATTTGAGGCATTTGTTATGAATCAATCCAAGATAACGCTGTCAGCACTTTAATACCCTCTCTTTGCAGCTCAGCATTTAGTGTCATCAGGATGAGAGCAGATAGAGCAGCTCTGAGCAGGAGAGTGGAGATGCAGCAGACAGTTGGTGGTAATCTCTGTCAGAGTAACACCACAAACAAATTGTCACTGTTTCATTTAAAAAACAAGTCACATGATGGAAAGAGAAAGGAATTCCTTGTGTTCTTTGAAATATATTTCTTTGTTCTCCATGCACTTCTGGTGAAAAGATCTGGGATGACACAGGTGAAGGATGCCTTGATGTGACTTTAAGGAATTAAGGTCTGTACTGCAGACAGCCAGTAGGGGGAGCTTCAAACATCTCACTTGCGGAGGGCTGTCATGTTGTCCATCTTTCTGTACACTTTGTGTCATACAAATGTTGGAAGCTGGTTAGTAAAACTCATGTATAAATCGTAGATACTTAATTTATATCTTTGCAGTAGTTTACACTGAGTACACGGACAGCAGTAAAACAGTCCATTAAGAGCCCCTAACTAACCCTCATGGTGCATGAGACATTCAGTGTGCGGTCAGATGTGAGCCGTTTACTCTGCGGTACATCAGCCCACAACAGCTCCTCTAATCGACATCACCCCTCCTCCTCCTTCCCATTTTGTATGATCTCAGGGAAAATGGTATTTCAGAGCAGAGGTTGTGTTGACAGAGCCCGAGACAGCACAGAGCACAAGGCCGACCTTTCACCTTTCACCCTCCTCCTACCGACCCCAAACCTGGAAACACAGGAAGAAAGCAAGGTCGCCCAGATGAGAGTGTCTGTCAACACGCAGAGGGAATTGAAAGCTGGTTCAGAGGAAGGGAGGGGGAGACAGAAGTGAGGAGGGGAGGAGAGGGGTGCTGACATTTGTGCTGGGATATAGAAAAGAGGATATAGAAACATGCTGAATGAATCAGGCTGACCAATAACTTTAAGAGCTCCAGTAAATTGCTCTGTATTTTGCTGGAGATTAAACAGAAGGACAGTCATAATAGGAGCAGCCAGTTGATCTCATTCACATTGATCTTGCTACAACACAGATGACGGCAAAAATGAGGCAGGGAAGGCGAGCTCTGGGTTTGATATAGTAGCCGCAGCTCAGCCGCTCTGGCTCATATCAAAGTCTGAAACAGTAATGGGGAAAGCAACACTCTGATTTTTGGGGTGGTTCTGTCCGTCTGCGGCTCTGCTGCTGCTTTCTTTAACTCTCTTTCCTTCAAAGTTTTTCCGTGACATTTTGATTTCCCTACAAAATGTTTGTGTCATATCAATTTCGGTGCAGGCAGGGGTATGTTTGGAACATGTCATGTTCAGCATCACCATAAGCTGCTATTTCAGATGACTTTCTGCTTTCAAACATTTGATAGCACTACCACTTTTGTCTGCATTTGATATGATGCTCAAAACAGCATACCCGGTGCTCAATCATTTGGCATGCTGCTAGGACTTACCTCATGCTGGCGGACAAATATTCAGAAATATTTCCAATAGCAGCAAAGTGAGCTGGAGTTGAGTACTGAGGGTCACTTTCATTGTGTTTTAAGAAGCTTGTTTAGCCAAAATGGCTACCTTTGTGTTGTGCACCTAAGCTTCATTTGCAAGGTCATGCTTTCTAAACTTAGGGCTGTGCATGTGTTTTGGAGAGTATAGTTACACTGAGCGCATCTGTTTCTACTAGCCTGCATGATGCTGTGCAGACCTCAGTGAGCAGGAATGCTTTACTGTCTTAGGGAGGCAGATCCATACTGGGCACTTTCCCTGGTCCCTGTATATGCCCTGGCTGTATGCATACACTAAGCCGGTGTGTGTTTACAATATCAGGGTTTGCATTGCTGTTATGCTGTGATTAGATTTCCTGTTTATGCTGTTTATTATGGAAAGAGGGTAAGCTGCTTCAGTTTCATTCCCCTGACATAAAGAGGGGACGCCAGCAGGGATTACAGGGGGAAACAAACACCACAGTGGACATGGATGCAGGTGCCAACATTGACCAGGTTCTCACAGCTTCCATTTTCTTCTGACATCATGCTCAGGGAGGGAAGCTCAGATGCTACTTGAAGAGATTCACTCTTTGCATGCAAGTACATCTTTTTTAACTACATTGGATGCCACCTATCACAGTCTTAAAATCAAAAAAACACAAATAAACAAACTGTTTTTAAATGTCTTGCAAGTGGACCTGAGTCTAAGGGAGCTGGTCTAAAACTTCAACTGTTCAAAAGGAAGAAATTCCCTGAATTTCCTCCATTTTTTAATGGCATTTTTGCAGTTTAACAGTGCTTTAAAAAAGAAAGCTGACTGCTAATTAAAAACCATCATCATGCATTTCAGTAATTGATGAGTGAAATTATAGTTTTGTTAAATTGTGATTATCAAACTACTTGTATTCTGCAGCCCTAGTTTGTTTGTGCTTATTTTATTTTATTTTTTTATCATAGCTGCAGGGAAATAAGACCCCACTCTCAGAGACCTCACTAAATGAGGTAAAAAGAAATGCTAAACTGCTGTGCATATAGTTATAAATCATATGAATGCAGCTTGTGTGACAAATAGCAGTCTACCTGGATTAACTGAAAACAAAGTCAGGCCACACTTAGATTAACACTGTTTACTGGTGTTGGCCCCTATTTTAACAAGAGCTGCTCTTTTAAAGCTAATGTGAGGAGTTTTCAGCTGAATATCTTGAAAATAAATGATGCATTATAAACATTGTGAGTAAATTCAACCCTGTACAGTGTGTGTGGGCAGAGATATGAACCATTAAGACCAGAATAGTTCCTGTAGGCTGCAAACATGTTTATTTCTGCAGGAAAGATTGACTTTTTTGTTTTTGTGTGTGTGTGTGCATGCTGGCACTTCTGCAGCCTGTCTCTAGTGGACACCCAAGGAACTGTAGCTTTATTCCTTATGACCTGGGGTTGTTACATAATTTGAACATTTTCAAAATTTGAGGTGAAAAGTAGGTATGAAAGCAGCCAGCAAAAAACTCATTCATGTACACAAGTCAGTGGGAAAAGTCCTGCTTTTGTTTCTGAGCTTTTATTTTTTTAGTCTGTGATCCTCTCATGCTGTGATGTTTTCAAAAAATTTCAACACATCGAGAAAATGCCAGAAATAGCTTTCTACTGGATCCCCAAAGTGCTCCATGCCATCAGCTCTGTGGTTTCCCTGTAGTTTCAACCTTCACCCCTCACCCCTCATCGAAACACAGCCCCAAAATGGTCAACATGAAGAGGAGAGGTAGCACAGAGGGGTAAATCACCTCACTGACAGCTGCTCTCTACTGTAGGTGTGGATGGGGGGCAGCCTCGGTGACCTTGTAAGGGAGGAGGGGAACTTTTCAGAGGGAGACGCTCAGTCAGAGCCAGGGCTAATTGTCCCGTTTGTCTGCAGTCTCTGTTTTCCTCCCAGCTCTAGTGCGGAAGAAACCACAAGTACTGTGACCCCTGAACCATCAGAGGTGAGGTCCCAAAGGGGGGATGAAGGCAGAGGAGAGGGGGGGAGAGGGGAGGGTGGCACTACAACATGTGGTCGCCTCGTTTTTGGGCGAGCCAAACAGTTTTTCTTTAATTGGCCGTGCAATCTGCTGCAGCTGGGATGGATTACAGGAGAATTCTTCCCTTGAAAGGGAGTGTAGCGCCTGGCATACAGCAGACAGTGGACAGGGAGGGAAGAAGTGGTCACGTCGGCATTAGGGAGTTGTAACAACCCACTTGTATTTACCTCACTCTGGAGTCCACACTTGAGCAATAGGATGCCTTTCTGCCACAGAGTCCTTGGACAATGAGGTAGCTTTCCTGTCTGCCAACATGAGGAATACATTAATGCACACACTCTGTAAACTTGGCTGAGGCCGAGATAAAACTGAAAACATCTTGACACATTAGTTCGTTGTGTTTTTTGTCAGAAAGTAAATGCCGGGGAGGATGTAACAGGATATTTTTGGACTTAATAAAAGAACGGGAGTTCAGCCAGAGAGAGGCAGTTTTATTTGATGGGTGAGAAGTAGAAGGGGGTATGTCCAAAATCTCTGATAAGTTTATTGGAGTTTATTTTATGTGCAGCCTTAAAGAGCCGGATGAAGTCACTGGTCAGGAACTTCTCTTTTTTTTTTTTTTTCTAACGAGAGTTTCATATTTAATTCCTTGAAATTTTCATCTCTGATTGGCAGAAATTAGAAAGTTCTGGAGCAAATTAAAACCTGCCTGAGATTGTCGTGGTCCTACTACTACTACACTCTTTCTTATATAATGCCAGGTGTTTAAAGTAGTGACAGGAATTACAGCTCTTTTTAGTGAGCCAGATCATTGGGCTCAGCTCAAGAAGAGCCGGCTCTTTTGGCTCCCAAATGGCTCTTCATTTTACAACTTCTACATTTTTTAATTCAGTCAAATTTAGCGTTGTTTGGCTTATGATATGAATGTCTGTGGGGGGAAATAAGAGAAAAAAAAATGGCTCACAGACAGCTTCCATCGTTCAAGCTAAAGAGTCGGCTCTGTGAACCGGTTCATCAGTGACCGACACAAAAAGAGAGTGAACAACTTGGCAGTAATTCTTACCTGTAGACTAGATTTCCTGTATTTGTGCTAAAACCTGCTCTGTGAAGCTGTGTGTTGACATTACAGCAGGTGGACAGTGTGTACTAAAGCCTTGTGGGATTGGATGTTGTTGACATTAATTGTGATGTTGTTTTACGTTGTGGGAGATTCAACCTGCAAAAGAACACTGCAGCTGGTCTTCATCAAAATGCATAAATGCACTTAATGAGAATTTATCATGGAAAACTGATGACTCTTAGGAAACAAGTGCACTCCTCGTAAATCTGTTTTCAGTATGCTAACCTTCAGTCGGCCAAATATGAGGCCGTCACGTCCTCCAAGGTTTTTCCTTGGCCGTGTTCGTACTTGAGATGTAAGAAAATGCAAATGAAGTGCAGCAACATCTTGAGGCCATTTGGACCGGGTCAGAGCGGGGGTGAGGAGAGCAGGAGGGAACAAAGACAGTGAAATATGTTTTGTGTACAGATGGAGACACGAGAGAGGAGGGAAAAAACGAGGACGTGGACGTATGAGTAGGTGCAGAGTGGAGTCACGAATGCAGGGTAGGAGAGAGACAGACAGACAGAGGAAGGAGGATGGGATTAAGGAAGTATATTGAGGAAAGTGGGCAGATGTGGCCGGACATCAACAGCATGGCTGGAATGTGCTGATAGGACTCGCCTGAGAAAACATCTTCATTTGATGCACATGACACGCAAACACACACACATATGCACAGATTCGCACACACAGCTGGTTGTCTTGTGATGATACTGAGAAGCAGCTGGAAGATCCTCCACCATCACTGCATTTACAACCGGCCTGTCAAAATGACCAAAAAGTGACTATTGAATCTGTCCTCTAAGAACAGAAAGGTTCAAACTGCCACAGTTTCATGTTTGAGTTTCTTCTTTTGTGCATTTTAACAACAGGACTGGGACTCATCACTGAGTGCATGTAGAGGTCTAGGTTTACCAGACTTGTGCCATTCCTGAATTATGGCCCATAATGATCCTGTTAATGATCATAGGAGAGCAGGTCAGTCTGTGGCCGATATAAAAGCCTTTATTGGACTGCCATGGATGGACTTCAGAGACCAGTGGGTGAGCTCACTGAGATTACGGTCAATGGCTCCAGCTGACAGCTAATCCTCTTTCCGCTGTTAATAGAGAAAACTTGACCATCTTCTCTGTTTGGATGTTTTACTCCATTTGTTTCATGTTATACTTTTAAAATCACTCCCCCAGTTACATAGTGAATTCTCTGCCATCTGTTATGTCAGTCCCCTTTTCTCTGCATTTATGTCAAACATTGACTGTCTATTCTTTGACGACCCTGAAGTACACCTGCCCTCCTTCGACCAGCATGTTCAAAACCCTCCCCCTTGAATGTTTACGCAAAGCATACCACTACTTATCAAGATATTCGCCCTCGCCGCGTCCTCTCCTTTATTGGCTGGCCTGTTGAGTGTACATACGTG